GTTGGGTAACCTGAGCACACACTCTTAAAGCTTCAAAGATGACTTTGAGATGTAGAATTAGATTGAACCAGCAAATACACAACAGTCTCCCATACAATACAAATAAAAATTGAAAACTGCATCATAAACAGCCTCCCCTTCAGCTCTGCTGTGGTACCGAATCATTATTATTCAAGTCTGATGGTTATTTCGGGATAAGCGATGATAAAGATGTGCTATGATTCACTTGCTGTGAAGTCTATGCTAATGATACAGTCATTTCAAAATATGTCGGGCTGTTTTCCTGCATATTTTTTTTTTTTTTCATTTTTAATTTACGTCATGAAGTAAGAGGGTAATGTGGTGTGCCCTTTAAAGACTGTAACAGGGTTGTGGTTGAAATTTAGATCATGCATCACAAAATAGAAACTGCACGTTGTTTACTGTTGTTTAAATGTAATATTCACTTTTAAACCAATGCCAACATACACCATATATCTCTGATGCTCTGATGATTTTAAATACTGCATAATGATGTTTTCGGATTTTGCACATAAATGTTGCCACTCAAACACCAGATATTACAAACATGGACACAGGCCAAGAAATTAATTTAAACCATAACCACATGATCCAAACCACAAAAGGGGCTGTACCATAAAGGAAATACACAGGTACTTTAATATAATATTTTCCAAGTTCAGAATGTTTGACGTGAAAAGCCCAAAACGGATCAAGTGAGCAATGAATCACATGGTTTTGTTGTGTTCCTACTCACTCCTTTGTGAAAAATAAGTATACCTTGGCATACTTTCAAAAGCATATTACAGAAATAAAACACTTTAAAAGATTCACTTAAGTGCAAACGTAATATAATGTTTTCAGGCACTTAATTGCATGTTAAAATATATTATTTAATTGCAATTATAAATTAAGACTTCAGATGCAAACACCTCGAAATAATTTTTTTTTTCTTTTAAATTAGCAATTTGTATCAGGCTCCTGTGTTTAGTTATTTTCCTTTTAATGGCAAAGAAAAGGTTATTAGTCAGTTACTGAATGTCTTATTTAAAAAAATGTCCAATGTTATTTTCATAGGAGCCTGATAAAAATGCTCATGTAAAAGAAAAATATTAGATGGACTTAGAGGTTTTTGCATCTGAAGTCTTTAAATATACAAATTTATTCAATTATATTAATCCTTTATGTAATTTCAAATAACATACTTCAATTAAAATTAGAATGAAAGTTCATGTGTTTTAGTATGCAATCAGTCAACACATCAAAATAACTGCATTACATTAAAGAACAACAAAAGATTATTTAAACAATGATTTAAAATGTACTTTAAAATCATTAATTTTACATTATTTCAAAGTGCACTTTTTAAAAGTGTACTTAAGCATGTTAAAAACATATTCATGCAAGTGTACTCTCTTTAAGTACATTTAAGTGGCCTTTTTATTCATATTAAATTATCTGTTTTGAAAATATACTTTTAAGATTTGAAGTTCACTACAAGTGCACATTTAATACAATTAAGTTCATTTTTTTTCACAGCTGCTGAAAGCATAAAAAAACATTTTTATAATTTGGTGTTCCTTTAAAAGAACAGCTGTTGTTGTTTTCACAGCATGTTTTTTATCCGATTGCATATTTGGGGCTCAATAAAGCAAAAGGCCATTAGAGGGTGTGCATTACACTGATTTTTTCGATGTTAGGGATAGTCTAACAACTGTTTTAGTGATAGTATTATTAAAAATCTGGGTAGAATGTTTTCAGTGTTTGTCCAGAAAGGAAGTCGGATAATGTGGGACTCTTCAGTCAGCAGTTACAGTACAGTATTGATAAACACATCTACTTTAATGGAGATTTCCTTTCTGCTTCCTTTCCCTTAGCTTACGTAATGTGTTTACACTGCTTTATTCTTGTTTTGCTATTGTGATTACAGGTTTAATGAGCACCCTTGAGAGCTGTTGAGACACGGGCTAGTGGTCTGGAAAGAAGAGTGGTGGGCTGCACATCCTGTCAGCCCCTCTGAATGGCCCTAACCAAATCCCATCCTGAGGCCACCGCATACTCAGGCTGCAGGAAAATTTTATGTCCATGCTATACATTTTGTTAAGTCAGTGCAGAGACATATGACCCTAAAAATGCCTTGAGTCATGCAATGAGGAGATTGTTGATTACTCAAAAAAACAGACTAGTCTGCATCTTTTTTTTAAAGCACTTCACATATTTAAAAAGCACTTCACATATTTAAAATCTTATTGGGGGGTGAGAGAATGGTGCACTTCAGAATCAAAGGGGTCATTTTGCAAAATAGATGCCATTTCAGTTTGTCATTTACAATACACGTGTGAAAAATAATTAAAGCCAGCTTTACTATATGTAAATATAGACTAATAATTAGGGCTGTCAAAAGAATAATCACGATTAATCGCATGAAGCCCATATTTATAATACATTATAAGGGTATTCTTAAGGCATTATAATGAATGCATAAAAAACCTTATAATATGTTATATCATCTAAAACATAATCATAACAACAATTATAATACATTATAATGCTTACGCATTTGTGGTTATAACGTTTAAAATTATGATTATTTATAACACAATGAACACCATATTAAATCTACTTTTACATTTATAATGGACTATATCTCTTGACATTGTTTAAGATCTGCACAGTATCTTACTACATTTTGTAAGTGGTTAGGTGTGGAGTGTTATTTGAGTGTTCCCTGTGAGGCTAATATTAATTTTGATGTGAGCTAGTTAATAATTTAAACTGAAAAAAAAATTAATGATTATATGTTAGGTTACATTTTATTTTGATGGTCCCCTTAGTCTATTGACTATAAGCAACTTTGCAACTACATGTCAACTAACTCTCATTAGAGTATTGGTAGGCTTAGGTGGGGTAAGTGATTTCTGGTAGCCAATGTTGACATTTGAAATCACCCAAACAAACACGCCCCTACCCCAAAAGGGATTTTGCCCTGCATATACGTACGCAACCCAGGCAACGATTAGTTCTGTGAAACAAAGCAAAACCAATGTTACACTGTGTCTACACCGGATGCGAGTGGCGCGACAAAATACTATAGAACTCATTATAATCAGTGATGCTGTCTACACCATAGATATATATACATATCTATGGTCTACACTGGATGTGGGGTGGCACGACACGACAAATCCCCGACAGAAA